CTTTATTTGATTAAGGAGAGAGGCAGCACAATATTGTCTTTTTTTCATCTGTTTCCCCTCCTCATCTATCCCCCCCTCCTCTTCTTTTCTCCGAGTCAGATTTTATATTCTTTTCGAAACGAAACAATAGATATTTATTTGTTTGTATTTAGGTCATTTATTTAGAAATCAACAACTCCTTTGCTCGTCGGTGTCACACTGGAATCATTCCTAACATAAAATCGAGACCCATAAACGCTTGTTTGTAAAACACTGAACCCAAAATCAATGTATTGGGTCATTTCAATCGATTATATAAACGAAAATCCATAGGCAACATGAGACCGGTATCAGCCCACTCTTCCGCTCCCTTTTAAAGAGAGAGAGAGAGAGAGAGAGAGAGAGAGAGAGAGAGAGAGAGAGAGAGAGAGAGAAAAAAAAAAAAAAAAAAAAAAAGAAAGCTTGTAGCGCCTGGGCTAAAAACAAATACTGTCAAAGCTGCCCGTCATCAGTCCAAGATCAGGACATCTCCTACATTTTCGTGCCAAGGACCCCCAAAATGAACCCATCTTAAACTAAGGGGTCTGATTTAATTGGATTTTGTCCCCGGGATGCCCAATATGGGCTTTTTGTTCTTATTGATTCAGAACTGCTTTGTGAACCTGCTGTGGCTGTGGCGCTGCTGGTGAGACAAGTGGAAGCTTTGTTCAGACATATGTCCGCTAAATGGAATCATTCTGGCTTTAATGGAATCAGAGAAATTTAAGAATTCTTCATTTTGGGCTGATGTGTGTGTGTGTGTGGGGGGGGGGACCCCATGCATGGCCTTTAAGGATTCTTGAACCCCACTTAAAAAAAATCTGGGATGCCAAAGTGTTTCCAGATGCTCCGAGATAGTGCCTGATGACAACAATTAGAAAAAAAAATGCCCCAATCAAACGGAGCCGGGATTACGTTGCGTTTCAAGGGTCAAGGGGAATCGTTTCAGTGCCCCCCCAACCCCCACCCCCACTTATTTTCCGCCACCAAATATCACATTTCAGCATCACATGGTCCCAACAACCACCACGCAACTCCAGGCCACTGTAATCACATATGCAAATTCCCACCCGAAAAGGCACGACAGCCGGTGCGCACCGTCCGAGGAGCTGTTGCGTAAAGTGCGCATTAATATGCAACATGATACGGGGAGAGTTGAGGAGGTGGGG